CCCCTCCCAGATATAAGCCCATCTAATCTATAAGTGTGTTCCTTTTGTCTTTTGTGCTTCTTTACAAACATCAAAATTTTTATTCAAAAGTTGTAGTCATAAACAAGTGGCTGTGGAGTTTAGAACAGTAATTGTAACGATACCAAAGAAAGAAACCAATCTTCATGCATATATAACAGCTCCAAATGCATATATAATAGCTCCAAACGTAATGGTATGTCAGCTTTAATTAGTTTCTCAGATGCGTTCTATCTCATTGTTCTGAAACATTTTTTTTACTCCGCTTATAAGCTCCCCCAGATACAAACCACCCCGTTTGTAAGCCCACCTAAAACCCCTTATGAAGTTATATAAGCCCAGGGCTTTTAAGTGGGATTTCACGGCATGCTTGATGTTTGAAGAGGTGAACGAATCTTCTTTGAACCCAAATCACTCCAACTGGGAATGACTACACGACTTTTCTTGACAACCTCATGTGTCATTGGTGGACTAGGAATGGTCATGTTTTGTCAATAAGTTTTGAACAGTAAACTACATGACTGTTATTTTAACAATAATGAGCTCAAATTCAAGGTTTCATTATTATGGTGGTTGGATATCAAGAACATCAAACTCTGCCAAGTCAACTATCATATTTACAAAAGCACAGCTTCTCATCTAGAGGAAGTAGAAATACTCAGCCTAGTTGCTTATTTTTAATGCTACAGAAACCGCAGGGCTTGAAAAAAAGTGCCGTCTGGTTGTCCAGGACAAGTAAATTTTCCTGCCGGGCAAGTAACTTTCATTTTCACTTGCCCAAAGGGCAAAGGCCCAGAAAAGATGTCTGCCCAGACTTGCCCAGGGCATGCAAAATTTGAGAGCTGCTTGTCCCAAGGGCAAGCTGGAATTCAAGTTTCTTCGAGCCCTGAACCACTATAAGCTCTGGCAGTATAGAACACTTGGCTTGACATTCCATTAACTGACTGACCATAAAAGACTACCACAATGATAACTCATGTTGCTTTCAAATTTGAGTAGAAACAGTGTCATAAGTTCATTACTCTTTTTTAACAGCACGTATTTTTCTGACCAGAGATGACTTCATTCATAAAATTAATTAATATTCCACACCCACACTCTAGTCTATCAGTAGCCTCTTTCCTTGACAATAGGGTGTTTTCAATCACGTGACCAGCAGCCGTGAAAATTAATTGGAACAAAAGAAAATGTTTACATAAGAAAAGAGTTCAACTTCCTCAGGATTGGTTTGGTAAACCAACATGGCCACCATTTCATTGTTTTGGAGCACCAATATGGCTGCCATGACGTCATGTGAAAAGATGAGCTATATTTTGACTTGTCACACACCCTGTGTGCATGACAAGCCAAAAGGATGCCTGCATAGGGGGTACCTGTAGTCAACCACTTACAAACTTACCAAGTCTTCTTGTGTTGGTCTGGCTGCATTTAATTTTCCTCCTTGGTTGAAGACACATTAGTCTGAAGAAAACTTGTAGCCTTTGAACAGGAACAGTTGCTAAAGATTCATGTATTTTGACAATATTTGTTGTGTTTGTAATGTATTTATTTCTTAAGTTTCTTTTTGAAGCTTGAAGCATTACTGTACATTTGAGTTACAGTGTTCGAATATTAATTATGTACATGTAGGGTTTTACCTAAATGTACAACAGATGTTTTACAAAAATTATGCATTGTGATATTTGCTTTTACAAGCAATAGGTAATTAGCTTATCCTATGTAATATTATCGTAAGATTAGCCATTGACAGATGTTAAAATTACTGGATGGATGTAGAATATTATCAATATCTCTGATGATATTACATGTATAGCAGAAAAAAAGTACATTGTAAAGTGTATCAATTCATTAGGGCTAAAATTTTGGTCACTTATTATTAGGTAATTAGTAAACAAAGATGTTCTTATTATTTTTGAGGTTCTTAAACCAGTTTATTTGAGTAGTAAATTGCCACAATAGGTTTTCAGGCAATGCAACATAAGAGTGTTGAGTTGTGTTACCTGAGAAAAACAAGTTTTTAAAAATTGTCTGCTCGGTAGTGATGCACAGGGTGCAAATTTGCCAACATCCAGGTGACAGTTGATTGAAATAATTACGTAGCAGTAAATGAATTATGCCAATAATAATTAAAAGTAATAGCAATAAATCATGGAAAGAAGATGCATGGTCTCATTTGGTTGTGCAAGTTAGGGATGAAACCTAGCCAAGCCAGCTATCATATTTAACAAAACGAAGCAAAAGTGGCTTAACTGTGTACCCCAGTCACCTAGGCTGATTTATTGAACATAGAGTTTTGACAGAACTGAGTGTGTTCAAGAGATGTCATAATCTCTTGGTGTATTTTATGGTTTTACAGTACGTTACACCAGCATCGGTGTTGTAGCAGGGGAACCAGAGTTAACAGTGAGATCTCTTTGCCCTGACTCTTCCTCTGGTCTGGAGTTCACCAAGATTCCAGTCATTCCATACGATTTTTTACGGTGACAGCAGAAATTCTCGTGCACTTATTGGCTAATTTTCAAGGTCAAAAAGTGGACAGACACATGAATTTATGATTTACGTGACATGTCAACGAGGGGGTGGGGGGNCAAAGAGCGAGGGCGGACAATTTGTTATCGTAAAAAACAAATTGACGTCAGTTTTTAATGCGTCTGTCCTGTTATTGATCAGGAATTTCGTCATAACATTGTCAAAGTAGCTGTGGATCCTCGAGGCGATATATAGCCGAGTGGATCCGCATATCAATAACCTACTGTTGAAAAATCAAGATCATGTAGCAATTTTAAAATTTTGATTAGCTTCAGCTCAACCATGAATGAATTTTTTTATAATAAGCGTCAACTTATCGGAAACCCACCGATCTCAGTAGAACTGTCATAGCTTCATTGGTGGTGTGGATTTTTTCAGCCGAATCCCAGTAGGTTTAAGTTGGACCGGGAAGACTTCTTTAATGTTTGTGGTACATTTCCTGTCATATTTCTTCCGATTCCATTAAGTATCAATCTACTAGCATTCTATCACGAATGCCGCTCTCTTATTGGACACGGCTACTCACTTTGTATTCTGCTGTAGATAGTGAGTAGCCAGCAATTACGACGTGTGCATGTATGTAACGGATTTTGTTTAAGTTTTGAACGACTAGTAGATTTATTTGACTAGAACAATCAGATTATTCGCTATCGATTTCTATGCGTGATAGTTGACGTTTCAGACTTTTTAGCCACCCTCAAGAGAGGATGAAGAGAAAAGAGAGTTGAGGCTTCAGTCCAAGGTGCATTCCGCAAGACTTCCACGCCGAAGATACGCCAAGGCTTTTCAAATTCCGTGCCACGCGCCTAGCAAGCGGCCGCAGTTCCACGCCGAAGAATGCTGTTTTAAAAACGCTTACCCAACGCGGATGGGAAAGTTTAGACTCAAATGGATTATACTGATCTGAACGCCTGGAAGAGGCTAAGAACAAGCTGATCCAATGACACGAATCACGTGGTCATCCCAAGGGCTTCAAACGCATTTTCATACCCCGAAAGACATCCGCGCAGCGCGCGTGATAAAATTATGCGCGGAAAAACTGGGTACCATGCCTAGCAACATATCTCCTTCTCTTGCTAACCCACATAACTATATCTCTCAGTTACTACGCGCGCTGTGATTGGTTTATTTAGCGGGTACGGTAAAACTCCAAGCTGTTTTTGTTCCCAAGATGTCCCTTGACTTATCGCCAGCTTTCGTTTTCTTTAGATTCCGTAAAACGTGCTAACGACCCAACAACGATTTTTGCTGTCGACGGGCGTAAGTCATTTGAATCCGTTCCGCGTGTCTAGAAGTTGTTTTCCAAACCCGTCAGACACACAGCAGAGATATAATTAATAGGCTACTTGCCTCGTCTACTCCATCCGTACTGTAAATTACGGAACGAGAAAAAAACCCTCGGTCCGAAACTTACAATACGGACCTCCAACGGACTTCATTGTTTCAACTTGATAAAGAAAGATACCGAGAACTGCAGTTAATAAGCCCTCCTGCTTACAAGTCCCTCCGTTTATGAGCCCATCGAAGTTGCATGAGCTCAGGGCTTATGTAAACGGCATTTCAATAATTTAATCGTTAGGTTTAAAATCAGAGAATAGGATTGCGGAATGAACACGAGCAGACAATTCAAAGCTCGTGTACATGTTTTTATTACAAAATCTGGACAGACTGAATAACATGTACTATACGTATAACAATTTTCTGGGAAGTAATCCTCAGTTATCCATGTTGTTACTCAGAAATTCAAGCCCTTCAATTTCATGGGCCAATAAACTATGCAAAATTATATTAGGTTTACTACTTAATATCACTCTCAATTTTTAAAATTTACCAGTCATTTCCTGGACAGCAACGTGTATTTTCCCAAAATTTGACTCTAGCTATATATCAAAAGCGTTTTACGCGCAAAACTACTTGAATTGAGGAGGCAGAATGGCTGTCTTCACATAACTTAAAAGCAATGGAGTATACCTCAATTTTGCTCTTTTTTTTGAGTCAATTACCTAGTGTGGCTTGCAGGGCAAACCCAAGAGATTATACAATCTCTTGGCAAATCAAGAGATTCTCTTGGCAAATTTGCAAAAAAAAGTGCCACCACGTAATTATCTGTCTAGAAATTAAAACTCTATCATCCGTAACTGAAGAAGGATCTCCCTTGAAAATTCTGAACTAAAAAGTGAACCAAAATTGGGGAAAATTTCCGTAACAACTTGATTAATTCATCGTTTTCATTTCCTTTATACAGGTAGCAGCTCTCGCCTAAGACCTAACTCTGTGACAATATAATTCCTATCTTACAATAGCATACATGGCACCGTCGCTAACAGCCTCTGCGAACCTACCTTGCTTGGGTAGCGACTACTTTGGCGACATCAATAACGGTTGAGCAACGATACTGACTGACATTGCTAACTAACGCTACGTCACTTTTCATTACTTTTTTCCCAACTTTAAAGCAATGAAAGAAAAGATACTTGTAGCTATCTAAATTCCACGTAGTTCCAATGGAATGAGTAAAATTAAGAAGTGAAAAACTAATAATGTGATGTTAAATGTGTATCATCGGCCAAACCAAGCAGCGGCGACGATATTTATACCTCATCGTACCTTTTTTGGTACGCTTCGGCGGCGTATCAGGCGAGCGTGGTCGAGCCATGGTTCGTATTTACCCATGGTGAAACCAAAAGAGCCTTATATGCCGTCGAAGCGAGCCAAAAAGGTACGATTAGGTATTTACCGCACGCAAATTCGGCCAAGTGAGTATGATATCGGAGAAATATCAGGTCAGTGACTTGATATCGCAGGATATCAAGACCACAGACACGGCTTCTGATTGGCTAATTGCAAATTTGGGTACGAAGAGGGCGCGTATCATTGTGTCACTAAGCTAACAGCGGTTATGAGATGGCTTCCGAAAGAAACAAGGAGATAGCTTTCAGCATATCGGGTACTACATGAAATTTAGTTTCCGCGAATTTTCCCACGTTTACGCGTGGTTAACAATCTGAAAGCAAGATTTCCTACCTTGTTGGAGTGTAATCAGGAAGAAAAAGGCATCAAATTTAAGCAAGAGACTTATTAGAATAAGCGAATGATCATATTCGAGGAAAAGTGATGGTACGACAGTAAGTTTCACTGATGAAAACTAGAAAGATACATGTCAACTTAATTAAAGAGGAGATTTTAGACAATTATGTCCGGAAATGTAAAATGCAGGTCAGA